CAGGCCCGAGCTGGGCGGCCAGCGCTCCTCACGGAGCTGCCGTGCCTGGGCTGCGCGTCTCCACCTCGCTCCTCATCTTGGCCCAGAGACTGAATGCTCCCTCAGGGGGAGCTGCACTGAGCTCCTCAGACCTGGGCTCTGGGCAACCCCTTCTGTGTTGCCCCTCGTCCAAGAGCAGGGGTCTGTACGGGCAGCCCTCAAAGGGAAAGCGGTGACTTGCCACCGGGCTGCAGCTGTGCGCGCTGGCTCCCCAGGTCACTGCATTGGCAGAAGCCAAGGAGGATGTTTGGGAACAGCTCCCACTTGTAGGTGTTCACAACTTGGTGGGAAGGGGCAAGGTGAATTAGTGTGAACAAACACTCTTCTCTGGTCCCTGATGAAGTGTCAGAGTCTGTATTTTGGGGACATTTCCCCAGATCTGTTGGTCCCTGGAAGCAGTCCTCTCCGGGAGATGCATTACTGTTGTTAGTTACTGACTGTTTTAATAAGTACACATTACTAAAAATAAACACAGTTTAATAATGCACGCACACATTTTATTCTGAAAGTCTGCAGGATAGACAGGAGGAGTTATCCAGCTGTCTGGGAATGGAGTAGAATCGATGCACTGAACGCGTGGTAACAAAGTACACCAACACACATGACTCACAGCAGTGCAATGTCACACTTGTGTAATCCGTTAATGTAAACTCTTTTCCTCATAAAATGTACGTAAATGTACAGAATATACATACATATGTGTGGTTCCATGAGTCAGCCAACAAAGTGTCCTCTGATGAATTCTGAATGAATGTGAGTGTTCCCATGATAACACACCCTGAGCGACTTTGGCAATTTATATTCTTGTGATTTCATCAACTGCTACAACAAAATATTTTGTTACTAGGGTATTCAAGGGACAGTGAAAACTGAACTGTAAAGTTGTAGCCAGATGCTTTTTTCCAGTAGGTGCTGGAAGTGCATGTAAGTTTGCAATACTGTGTCACTTCGCTGTATCATGTGCTCTTCCCTTTATTAAAGGGAAAAAAGCAGGTTTGATAGGTGAAAGTCAGCTCTCTAACTTTAGTTTCTTTTTTGTAGAAAAGAAGTGGATCTGATAAGTTAAAACATTGGCAGTTTATTAATCCGATGAGGAGGATTTTCTCTCGAGTCACTACATTAGTTCTGTATGACCCTGGTAACACTTTGCCCAGATGTTCTTCTTGCTCCATCGTTGTTATGTGGAAACAGTGGCACGGTTTCTTCTTTATAAATCGTTTTTTTCAAATAAACATTTAAATGAAGGGTTTAGTTCTGGTCTCGCTTTACACCAGTGTAAATCGGGAGTAATGCTGCTGTAGTCAGCCAAGCTACGCTGGTATGTGAAAGTAGTTTGTGTGAGGTTAGAATAGAAAGGAGCTGGAGCGCGTTCTTTAATCTTCTCTAAATAGAGTGCCATTGGGTGATGCGTGGGTGTCCTTCTCAGAGACAGGTCACAAGATACAGAATTTCAAAGGCTGCAGGTTATGTTGATTTTCTAGGACTGGTGCTGACCTGTTTCTTGACATCAAAGACAAATATTTGATATTTTTTTAAGTAGACTGTCATTAAGACGAAATTTGAATGCATGAATCAGAGCTACAAATGTATAACGAGAATTCAACAGTATTGTATGTTGTAGCTGGGTTCATGGGTGACGGTTTCCAAGCCAGCAGCTCAGCAAAGCATTCTGAGTTGTCAGAACTCAACCAAGAAAGCTCCTTTCTCAGAGAAGAGTGGATGTAGTGATCCTGTAGAATGATACTGTTGCGAGTTAAATAAGCACAGAGTCATTACCTTTAGGTACCATTTATTGTTTAGTGTGAAACAACAGCACTGGCAACATAGCTTGTCTGTTCATGTGTTTTATAAATAGGACAGATGTATTATTGTAGGTTTCTTCAACTGTATATCAAATGACTGTGATAACATTGACTTATACACCTACTTATACACCCACAGTATGAAACTGTGCATATTGAATAAGTACTTGTGGAAGATGCTAGACCGGCTGTGCTGAGACTCATGCTCTCTGTCCCGGGTACTTCTCAGCTTTCTTCCCAATGTGCCATAGACAGGAGTCTCTAATCTTTGGTCTAGATTTATTTGCAGTGTTTTCAGTTTATGTAAATGGAGTAACATCAGATACTGCTTTTACCCTTCCTGTCAATTGACTCTGTGAAAAGGCCAACACTTTTTTTATTTTATGCACTTACTGGCCAATATACATGTATCAATAGGTTGAGAGGTTGCTGCAGTCCTACAGGTGAAAACTGTTCAGGTGCTATCTTAACGAGACTGGTACCAGTAGGTTATTAGATGGCTGGTTAGTGAATTTTGCAATGAATACAAAATCCCATGCAGGTACTTTTGCTTTAACTTATACGTTTAATAGATATCAAGTACAGTAGTCCAGGCTTCTGTATAACGCTGTGTTGGTCATCCTTATATTACTTCCTGCTTCAGGTCCAAAACCCATGGTTGAACTCGACTGAGCGTATCTTTTGGAATATCGTCTTGATTTAAAGATTTCCAGGGGTGGAGAATTCCCCACAACTCATGTTAAATTGTTCTATTGTTTAGTTGCCTTTACTTTTAATGTTTGGCACCTTATTTTAGCTTGAATTTGTCTGCAGAGCTGTCTAACTGACAGCCTGTGGGCTGTATCCAGCCTGGGAGGGGAGAGGTTGAATTAGTGTGGCCACCACTCTCATCATTGTTCCTGCTGCTGCAGTAGCTGGCCAGCCAGGGTTGCTGAGGCAGGGCACAGGGGGCTTGCTTGCATGGCAGACACCTGTGTGGCATGTGGCCCCCAAGGCATATGGCTTGCATGGTGCAGAGCCTGGGGCGCATACAGCCCCCAGCCACTCTGCTGTTGGCTAGAGGACAAGTGCATCACAGAGATACTGACTCTATATACTGACTCTGACTCAGAGAGTCAGAGATACTGACTCTATGATACTGACTAGTTAACTATACATAAGGTAAGGAGTTATCCAGAAATATGTATGAAAACCGTGAGCTGACATTCATATAGCTTTGAGTCTGAGAAGCAAACATCGAATCTTTTAGGATGAAAGTGTGCATGGAGGGAATTTAGCTTGCTACATCGGGAATGTGGTTAAAACTGAGGATATTTTTCACCAACACGAAGAAGGGTTCTAGCTTACATTTTTAGCTAGTAGAAGTACGTTTATTGGCCATTTATATATTAAGGTGGGGAAGAGCATGTTTGGGGTGTTGAGTACACATTAAGTTCCCATTTATAAAATACCTTCTTTGTACTGCACCTGTATTATTTATTAGTCATATGTCCTGTGTATCTGGAGTTGAGTAATGGGAAATGTTGGAGCAAGAATTGCATCAAGTGTGACACTGTTAAATGGCATAGCCTGCCACTAGGAATGACTTTTTCTATTTGAATACATGGAAGTATGAATCAGAGCCTGGTGAATTAGCCAGTGAGAGGAAGATGGGTATCTTTACATGATAGATTATACTCTGCATATAGAGTAGCTGATCTCATTTGTCTTCCTGTACCCTGAAGTTTTGTTTAGATGCTAATCGCTGAAGCATCCAAAACTGTATAGGTTCCTTTTTTAATGTGATCATTTGTCTTATTACAATTTAGATTTTGAAACTGCAGTGGCACATTTAGGGTCAGCCATTGTTTTTCAGACCACTGGTTTCCATTTTTGTGCATCTCATTGTATAGCACTTAGATTTTTCAGTTGCTGATTAAGTTTGGGCAGAAAAATATCCCTTAAAAATATTGTTAAATCAAGAACAGGAATCATTAATTCCTTTATTTATACATCTCTGAAAATATACTTACCATTCATGGGTACAGCATCCACTTCTCTTGATCTCTAGAAGAGCCAGTTTCAGTACAATCCTAATATTGTATGGACCCAAAGTATGGATTTATGATCCTCTAGTACAGCTTTTCTCAACCTGTGTGTTGTGACCCAGAAGTGCTGTATCTTGTGCTGTATCTTGTGCAACCCTTTCATGTATTCTTGCTGACCCAGAAGTGGGTCACAAGACTATATGAAAGGGTTGCAAACAAACTTTAAAAATGGATCAGCAAACTTTACAAATGGACTCTCCTTTAAAGGAAGAAAAATGTGGGAAAGCGTGGCTTTTCCCTTGCAGGCTGGCAGAGTTCCAGCCTGCATGGGTCTGCTTGGGGCTCCCCGTGTCTCACACACTGTGGGGGCTAGGGCCTGGGAGCGGAGGGCAGAGGGTCAGGAGTGAGGGGCACCGGGCCGGAACTGGCCATCGATGTTTACAAATGAGTCTTGATACAAAAATGGTTGAGAACTGGCA